GTTTAAGAACTAGAGGAAGGTTGTGGGTTTTATCTCACATAAAGAAAGAAAGCAAGCCATCGTGCTTGACTCACCAACATCAGGGTCATCTCCTCCTTGAGGTCATCGTATCGCTCTTCTAGGCGACTGAACTCATTTAGAAGGTTCTGATACCTCAGCCTCTCATCATTCAGATCGAGTTCCAGTTGTTTCGTTTCTTCTATTAACTTCTTCTCCATTGTCTCTGAAAGAAGGAAGAGAGATTGCACCTGCTAAAGATGACGCCACAAAACCCCAACCAAACTCAACGCCACTGAGCGGATTCTGACTCATCGCGACCCGCTGTGGGCCGGGGCTCCTCAAGACGGCCCCCCAGAAGGCAAGCGCGGAAACATGCACATTGATTTCCAGGTTCCCTGCCTGGGGGGGTTATTTCTAGTATCACGGTGATCTGTCATGAGTCTCTTAGTGACTGTAGAAGAAGGGAAAAATCACGACGAAAAAGTCGCCAATTACTCATAACGACTATAATCGATTGCATTCTTCTGTGTACATCCTTGGGCGGTATTCTCAGTCCCATTCCAAAATTGATCCTCATTTTTACTTGTTTTCTGGGGTCTAAGCTGTTTCAGAGTGTTCGGGGCCATTTGGACTATAAGATTCTCTCTAAGACTAATACTTCTAGGGAACAAGAGAGATAGGAGCCTTTTTGCTTCTTGATAGCAAGCCAAGGGAGTGCTAGAGAAACTTAAAGATGTCACGCAGCTAGAACGGGACAGCATTCACATCTGTCTGTTTCAAGGGTTACGCATGCTGCATCATCACCACGCTATGGGGCCACTGCAGTACCCATGGACAGCTCATACACTGATTTCAGCATATCCTTGATAGACATTGAGCAGTCATTGTCTATTAAATAAGACCTACTTTTCTATTCCATTAATTTTCTGCATCAGGCTATTCAAGACATTGTGTTGTCAAAGTCAACGTTGTCCTCTCAAGTCTGCTGGAACGGCAGTTTCTCTGTTAACACTCCACTGTCTGTCTGTCTCTGCTTGTCCTCAGTCCCATGGCTCTATCTTACTATTATCTGGCACTCTAAACTTTTCTTGCTGCTTTGTTAGCCACCTCCATTTCTAATTAGATAAAATCCTTAGAGCAGGTCATCTGAGTGGTTTGCATTTTTGGTACTAAAAGAATTCTGACCTTTCCATCACCCACCCACTCCACGTGAGTGGCTTGCATTTGTATGGCACATGGATTGGAGATTAAGCCTAGCCCAACTGCAGATGAAATAACAAAAACAAAAAACCCCTCACTACCATAGAGGTGATTCTCACTCATAACAACCCTACAGAGCAGGGTAGAGCTGCCCCCTACGCAAAATAAGACTCAGATCTTGGCTATATGCTTTTATTCAATGGTATTGTCAACCTCCTCATACGCATGTGAAAGCTGAACAATGAATAAGGAAATGCAAAAAAGAATTAAAGCCCTTGCACCATGGTGTGGGCGAGAAACACTGAAAGTACACGAACTACCAGAGAAATAAACAAATCTATCAGATTGCCCATTAGAAACGTGGATGCCAAGGCTTCGCCTTAAGTGTTGTGAACATGCTATCTATCAGGAGGGGTTAGGCCTGGAGAGGTCATCATGCTTGGTCAAGTAGAGGAGCAGGAAGATGGGCTCACAGCAGATACAACAATGGGCTCAAACAACCTCAATTGTGAGGCTGGGACAAGACTGGACAGACAGTGTTTTGTTCCGTTGTACACAAGGAAGCTATGAGTCTGGAATGACTCTGGCATTTATATCCCATCTAAAATGACAGCATTCTATCGATTCTTTTCATAGAATATAGCCTCACTCCAACCTACCTGTTCCCTACCAGTAATCACTGCCGTTCAGAACGCTATCTTCTTAGTCTGTATTTGTATGTAGGTAGATTCCTTGTAAACCATCTCCATTCTTATCTGTCCTGCTAAGAGCAACTGAACTCCCCACATCTGACTAATAAGTTCTCTCAAGAAGCTTTGGTGAGACTGGAGTTAAACTCCAAACTGCTAACTGAAAGGTCAGCAGTTCAAAGCCACCAGCTGGCCTGGGAGAGAAAGACGTGGCAGGCCACTCCCATATAGATTTACAGCCTTGGGATCCCTAGAAAGCAGGCTCTACTCTTTCCTATAGGGTTATTATGAGGAAGCATCTACCCAATGGCAGTGGGTTTGATTTGCTTGGGGAGGTTTCTGTTGAAAATATTATGTATGGATTTTTTTTGTTTTCTAAAATTTAGTGGCAAGGAGTGGTTGCTGTTGGAAAAACAGGACCCACTGGCTTCGCAGTAAATGCATACATGCTAGTTCAAGAATTATTCCTGAATCAACAGGAGCCTTAGATGTTATGACTGCTAAATCATATTCAAAACAAATCACTTTTTAATTAGACATGCTATTGCTTAGCATTAATTTAGAATTATAGAGAGGGCAGCTTTACAAGTTCATCAATAAATTCAGCCAAATCACTGGGAGCTCTTGCCTTTTGGAACTTTGTATACTTACTGATGACAGCCAGGTCGTTACAGCCTCAGCTGTGAAGCAGAGCTGAACTCCAGAGCTGAACTGCTGCGTCTTATGAGATATGACTGCAGCTTATGAAAATGTAGTGCACGGTGGGCTGGCCCGCAGTCGCGGTGGCCCGTGCGAAGCTCACCTGTCATCTCCTTAGCCTGCTCCACGATACGGCGGTTGAGGGTCTCTTTTTCCTGTTTCAGCAAAGTGTTTTCTTCCGTCAGATTTGATACCAGCTGTAAGATGAAACGGCCCATTGAGGTGGTCAGAATAAAGTCCGATTGCTAAGGGCGAAGACGACGTGGCCTCTAAGATTCCTTGCTCTCAGGGTCTCTGCTTCAGCTGTTTGCCTGGTCAGTCCAGACTGTCTGTGCCCCTTTGTCAGGCCCAGCCTCTTCCCACCCTATTACTATGGTCCACTCTCGAAAGGCCCGTCTTGCAGTGGTCTCTGGGGAGAACCTGCTGCCTGTTGGGGTGTGCAACCACTCACCAGCGATGCTTTTTTCCAAATAAATGTGCATGGGCCACACTTCCAGAGCTTGGGCAGGGGTCTTTGTAGAACTCTCCAGCAGGTCCTATCAGACCTGGCAAAGCACCACAGCCCGAGGCTGGTCTTCCAGATCAAGCTGACTGGGCATGTCATTTTCCCAGCCATAAAGGTGGCTGTCACAATGACACACTCTCAATCTTCTCCTGTCTGTCACTACACTCCATCCTAGTGCTGGAGTACCCAAAGGTAATCTCATGTTTTCATATTCCCCCACCACATCAAAGATTCTGCTTTTAGGGGTAGCTGGCCTTCATCTCTCTCCCCATTGCACAGCACCTTCCTACAGAATCAAAGCCTCTTTTTAAATGTATAATCCCCGACAGGGACAGAGTCACCAATAAGCAAGCTAAGCATAGGGTTACTTGTGCCTACTTACTAATCTGATGTGTGCAACCCGTGTGAAATTATTCACTACAGATAGTTAAGCAAGCACAAGTCAGCCCGTGTTAACCTCGCTTATTGAGGAATCTGCCTCTGTGCCATTCAGAGGAACCGAGAGCAGGGTCTACGGGTACATGTGTGAAAAACAGGAGGGAACCAAATGAGACACCTGGCTCTGTTCCTGTACGTTGTTTATCACACCAGAACAGCAAGGTCATGGCTACGAAGAGGAAGGGGCATCTTCCCACGGAGCTTAAATGCTTTGCTTCCATGGACTGAGGAGATGTCCCAGACAAGGAGAGCTCTTAGCCCCTCCTGATGATCACTTTGAACCCCCAGAACACTGTGTGCTGATAGAAAAAGCTTGCTATGCCAAAGGGACGACACATAACAGTGCTGGTTTTTCCTCGTGCAGACCCCAGGGCATCGACTAGCAAGAGAGGAGGGATGCTTTGATTAGGACTCTGAAGGCCACAAAAGGATCTCCTTTATTAGGGACACTATCCTGCCGGAACTGTACCTTCAATCCTGCTGACGCTCCCCCTGTAGCTGCGGCTATTAATATCCAAATGCCAGTTTAGATAGAGCATCCTGGGGAGTTTGCCAGCAGTGAGAGCCGACAGAGTCAATCTTGTTTTCGCTTACAGATGGTAATACTAGGGAACTTTGAAAATTGCTTTTTTTTTAAAGTAAGTCTTATGTTGAAGTACTTTGACAATTGTTTAAACAGTACCTCTCACTCATGCTTGAGCTCTGAGTACAATTTTTATACCATCCCATGGAAATGTGGAGTGTGGAAGCCCTGATGAACTGACTGGTGTTTTTGTTTGACTGCTGTTCCATCTGCACAGTAGCTCTTTGGCTGCTGTCAGTCTGACAGGACAGACATTTGGCTTCCTCTGCTTGGGAATAACCAAGCTTCAGCGCAAGTATCTACAGAGATCTTACTAACTGGAATTGACTGCTCACTGTTTGAATGGCTTTTTAACCGTTCTAATGCTACTGAAGAAAACGAAATCTACATTACATCTAGTCAAACACATTTACAGAAAAAGGGATAGTAAGTCTTTGGTTAATTTCCTTCCTAGAATACGGCTTTGATTGCCCTCTTATTAGAATCCAACGTTTCTCCTAAGACACTCGTAGCTACTCATTGATCACATGCGAGAAAATGCTTGGGAATTCCTGATAAAGAACAGTAAACCACTTGAAATTGTGTTATCACTTTAGACTAAAACCCACACTGCGCCACAGAGGCTAAGTCAAGACAAGACACGTTGCCTTTGTCTACACAAAAGTACCCGGGAAGATGAACATTAGCTCCCACCTTGCCGGTTTCCTGTTTGTATCTATCTGCACTCTCCTCAATAGATTTTTTCTCTGACCGAGTTTGTTCCAAGTCTTTCCGGAGCTTGGCAATTTCTTCCTGCAGGCTGAGGACCCGTTTGGTGGCGACCTTAGCTTCTTCCTCACTTAGCTGCAGGCGTTCCAGGTCATTCCGGAGTTTCTCAGTCTCAGTGTTATACGTTCCTTCGAGACTGGTCAGCTTCTCCATGAGGGACTTGTAGTCTTTGTTCTTTAAATGCACACAAATGAAACAGTAAGTACATATACATATCAGCCGATATAGTTAAGAGAAAGCCATGCTTATCTGTGGGTTCCGCATCGGTAGGATATTGGATCAAAATACCCAATCACAACATTTACAATAATACAACCAATATCCTCTTCGTAACACCAGAAGAGAGCAGAAACAATTAATTTTGTTTGACGCAGTGGGCAACAGAGGTCTCATTTTCTCACAGACATATTTCCATACAAAATCCTTAATTTTGCGGCTCTTAATCCAGAAACAGGAAATCTAGGCTTGCTACAGAAAATAGGTCACGTTGTCATCAACAGCCATATCCTAGCCAGGTGGTACGTGTGCCAAAATAGGACTTAGTAACTCTTCCAGTAATCTCTGCAAGCAGAGTGCGGGCTCCTCGGAGGTAGGAACGTCAGCCTGCAGCCCATGCCAGGTCAAGTGCTAGTCAGAGCAAATATCGCAGTGGACAGTCCATGGTGCGGAGGCTCACCTGCAGCCGGGCTCTCATCGTGTTTCAATTGAGCCCGTCTCTGGGGCCCCTCCTTCCACCTCTCCCTGCCCACAGACGCTGGTCACTTCCTGAGATTATTTGTGTGTCTATCATCCTTCACCATGGATCGCACTCTCTTTCAGAAAGGGTGGAAGTGGTGGCTTCTGTATCTTTATATTCCTTACCAGGCTCTGCCTCCTAGAACAGAGCTTCACCCATAGGAAGGGTGCAAGAAATGCTGGCTACAAATGTTTTAACTATGATCTTATACCTGTCACTCTCCAATTCTTTCAGTTTACGTGAGGAATAAAATACAAATGAAAAGGCACTTAGGTACAAGGGCGCATGGGTCCTATGGTTGAATTCTCTCTGACCACTCGTGTCTTTCAGAGAAAAACACAGAAACACAAGGAATTTCAGCCATGTTAATTTGGGGATTAACTCATAGGCTGACGGATAAAGTCGGTGGGAGACAGTTCAACAAGCCCCCTGGACTTCTTCCGGGGTGTGTGCTACCTCTGGCGCCTGCCCACCCAAGATGCTCGCACCTGCTCGTCCACTTTGCGCTGCAGCTGCATGATCTTGTTCTCCATGCCGACGTGCAGCTTCTTGTAGCGCTCCACAGAGCGGGCCTCAATCTTGAGCTTCTTGAGCTCGCGCTTGGCCATCATCCGCCGGAAGCAGCACTGCAGGTAGATGATGGCATGCAGGCTCCTCTTGTAGTGTGTCCGGGCCAGCCAGCCACGGACCCACTTCTGAATGATGGTCACTTTGTGCGCCCGGAGGATCTGCAGAGAAGGACAGGGCAAGTCATCCCCGGCCCTGGACTGGATTCCAGGTCCACCTCTATCCACTCGTGTCAAGCTGAGCATCTCTGTGATGCCTGAGCATCAACAATCTATTGTGTGCTATTACACACCCTACAGACACAGAGGGAGGTCAGCATTATTTTTTAAGAGATCTGAAAAGGTCTATTTTGAAAGGCAACTTTGGGAAAACTACCTGAAAATATGTTACCTTTCTAGTTATGCATAGCTGAAAGCAAAATATTGAGTTGGCAGTTCTCTACATGGAAGATACCAGATTGATTACTACAAGGAGGAAAGTCTAAAAAGAAAGACAATAACATATTAGGACTATGGCAGGGGAGGCTGAGGGGAAATGGGGAGCTAACAGCGATGAGTCCAAGAATGAGTGAGAAACTGTTCTAAAACCGATCATGGTGATTGTGCAACTTTTCTTGATGTGACTGAATGATTGACTTGTGTCGTATGCGAATTACATGTAGACCAGTTCCTATTTTCAGGTCTGCACCTGGGGGAAGAGCAATGGGGGGGAAGCATCGTCCTGAAGTGGTATTTAGGAAACGTGTGGTTCAATTTTAAATGATCGAATAGGAAACAAGCATGGGTGCTTAGGAGCCATGCACAGCAGCATCTTCAGCCTGCGCCAGCCTGCCTTTGGGGCTTGCCTCCCTTCAGCTCTCAGGATGTGCGGTCACTGGGCATCAAGCCGCCGACAGATGGGCACTGGGAGCAGCACACACTCGGGGGAGGCCCTTCTTATCCAGACGCAGGAAGGGCACACCGAAGGCTTTCAGACTTTAAAGCTCAAGCTGCACACAGTGACACAGCTATTAACGACATTTCCTGCTCCAGTTCCGTTCCCCATGTCCCCACATGACTTCAGACACTGGTCCACCGCTATAGTTCAATCCCATGGAAACAGGGTGTCATTAGCGCTCTCCTTCTGAATCTCATTTCCATCAGCGAGGCAAGAGCAATCAAGGAGCGCCTGCTCTTCCTCTAAACCCCTCCAGTCCCATGAAGACCACCTTGGCTCCGACACACAGGAATACTAAAGGGATGCTGGCTGCTGGCCTCCTGCCGGGCACCCCCATCGTGCTGAGTCACGGCTGCCATTACCAAACCAACCGCTTCCAACCACCTTCAGAGGCTGCTGAGGGAGGACGGGGAGAAACAGAAGGGGAAGGGATGACCAAGCTTCGGGCTCTTCCATCCCCTGAAAGCTCACGCTTCCACTGAAAGAGCCAGATGATAGAGCAGGCACGGACAAAGAAAGCGCTGCCGTAACTAGCCTCCAATGTTTTTTCGAAGCACAGCTATAGAATACACTCACTTAAGGCTCACTGGTTTTGTTTTGTGGTTGGTAAGCTTAACTTTTTTTTTTAATTAAAAGTAGGTAATAAAAGACGGTCAAGGGCATGCTCATGTATTGCCATGTGACTAGAGACCCATCTCCAAGTCAGCCCAGTGATGTTCCTTCAAACCGTGATCCCCAGAGAACTCGGGCCCAGAAGGCATATGTGCGGGTGGTTAAGAGTCTATCCTCAACCAAAGGGGGTCAACAGTAAGTTCATCCACTGGGCCCAGGCCCTGTGCTCCAGTCGATAACAAAGAGCAACTATGGTGACCCGCTATCTGCAGAACGTGTGGATTACTGCTAAATAGAGTGACTGTTTTTCTACATGCCTAAGTCAACATTTTAACTATGGCAAGTGCTTGGGTGATGAATGTCTGGGATGTCCATCTTATCGACAACCCACACTTGCCCTTCAATAGGATATAAACTTGCCCTCACTGCAAAAACAGGGAACCAACCTCTACTTGCAAAAAATTCTGCATCACAATCACCTTGAGTTGCTGGACATGAAACTTCTAAACCACTGAAAAGGCTCTGAACCATTCCGTGTACTAAAGTGAAGCTTATTGAAAACTGTATACCCCCGTTCCAATTTACCTACAAATTAAAGACTCACTTAGGAACAGATCTAGTGTGTCCCTGGGACCTGCCTGTATTTAATGTAATTTATTTCGTTTTTACCACAGTAAATCCGCCCAAGGTTCTTTCTTGGGACAATCATCTATCATCCATCTGTTATATTCAAAGCTCACTATAATAGGTTGAGTAAAGGCCCCAAAGGTATCAAGGCCTAACCTCTGGAACATGTTAATGTCTGTTTACAGATCTGCAGGGTCTTTGCAGATCTGATTCAATTAAAGGTCTTGAGATGAGAAAATTACTTGAAAACATCTGGATAGGCCTAACTACTCTACTAAGTGTTCTTTAAAGAGACAGAAGATGAGAAGGTGCTGTGAAGACAGAAGCAGAGGGTGGGTGATGATGCACAAGCCAAAGCCTGTGGGCAGCCGTCAGGAGGCAAGAATGCAAAGTCTCCTAGTGCCTCCGGAGGGAATTTGGCTGTGCTCAAACCTTAACTTCAGCGCAATGGTACTGAATTTCTGGAGTTTATAATGGTGAAAGAATGAATTTCTGTTGTTTTAAAACACCAAATGTGTGGTTGTTACAGTGATCACAGGATAGTAATATATAAAGTTGTTGCTGTTTTTCCTGAACTACCCAAACCAAGGAAAACGAGACAAATCTTATTTTTCCATTATTTCCTTAATAAACATGTACTTTGTTATGAAATACTTCATAATTAATTGAATATTAATTGTAATACTACAATATTGTAATTGTAATATTAATTAATTGCATATTAAATGTTGGCTCAATTCATGTGACTCCTATTTCCAGAGTAATCCTTGTGGTTCTTTGCAAAGACATGTGATTCATGTTGATGGAGAGAATCAATAAAGTTGGAAAACAGCGCCTCACCTTGCGATACCTATTTCTGGCCAAGTAGCCTCGCAAATAAGACTGAAGAACGATCGTGGCCGCACGTGTAATCTTGTATCTCCTGTGGACCACATACATGCGCCAGTACTTCTGAATGATGGTGGCTGCCTTGGTTCTGCGCAGAAACGCAGCATAGCTGGTGACGGCAAACAGATAGTTAGTCCTCAGGAAAACCCGGGGACACGTTTCGGAGAGGCGTGCAGGGTAGTACATGTTAAATCAAAGTTCATGTTCACGTGTTACACGCACAGCATATTATGGCTTCCCACAGTGTTCTGACCTTCATGATCTCCTTAGAGCGTCCCCAGCCCTGACCAGGGGGGGGTCCCGTATTACCCACATGTTATGACACAGAGTGTGAAGGCTCACCAAGGTGCATTCCTTCCTTCCATCACCCCAGGCTCCGTCCCCTCTATAGAATACTCCAGATGTATACAATGGCACACTTACCATGGTATCACCAGCTTTCTCACCTCTATCATTCACGCACATTTGTCTCAAAGTATAAACGCAGCATTGATTCATTTCTGACAATATGCCTGGATTAAAAGCTTCCTAACGGGTGAACCCACTCAGTCTAAGTCTTTTCTTGACTCTCTCAATTTATTTGTTCCCCAAAACTCCTACTTTACTTAAGCACAATTTCTCCAAATATTAACAAATAAAAGAATGCTGAGAACAGGAGCGGGTGGTGATTTACCTTTCTCGCTCTCTTTTTATTTTGTAGGCTGACTCAGAATTCCTAAGACTGGTGAAACTGTATTCTATACAACTGCTTTGTGAGTCAATTTGCTAGCCCCTGCAATTAAGAAAGGGTGAGGTGTCGCCTTCTCCGGCAGGGTGACCACTTCACATGGTACCAGGCGGGACAATAAATATACACAGGCAACCTAATCCTGAGAGCTGCAAATCTGAGTAGGCAAGCCCGGGGCACTTACCATCGCGCCTGGTAGCCTCGCACGTATCTCTGCACGGCAATGGCTGCCTTCCGCATGCGCAGGTACTTCTTCCGCAGCAGCCATCCCCGAATGGTCTTCTGGATGCGGATGCAGGCAGCCCTCAGCTTGTCCGCCCTCAGTTTTTCTAGATAGGCTACTTGGCCAGCGCGGAAAAAGATCTTGGTCTTACCAAACTGGTACTTGTCTTTGTCCTATGGTTGGAGGAAATTGTATATGTAGCAGTAGAAATCATGTTCACATAACAAATACGTAAAAGAGGGGGAGACAGGGCTAAAAGCAGAATCAGGGACGGGCTGAATCTAGAAGAGCTAAAACTCGGGCTACATTGCAATCAACTAATGGCGCCAGATTTTCCGATCTTATTCAAGTTGAGCAAACAGAGGGCTTTGAAGGGAAATTGAAGTCGAAGAGTTATTTTCCGGAATCATTCTACCTGGAATTATTACATGTGGCCAAAAAGCTTGGTGGTGGTGCATAGGCAGTTATGATAGACTGGTTTGCATTTTCAGCATCTCAAGCAAGTGGCCGTGCTGACACTGCCTCGGCCTGACCCGGGCTGTCTATTCCACGAGAAAGCTGAAGGACAAAAACAGCAGGCTGAAGGGGAACCAAAGCAATCACGGCACGACAGCAAAACTGCCCTGGGCCTCGAGAGGAGGACTGACGTTTTCAGTAGTTCTCTGTGGGGCTTATCAGCGGTATTTGAGAAGAGATACAAAACCCCTACGATGTGCCCTAAATCATGCTATACATTCCAATATGTATTTTACCAAAAATGTATGCAATCGCTCACTGCCGTTTGATCCTGTGCAGAGTGGAGCAGTAAGCGCAGACGCACACGTGATTTCTAGTCCACGACACTGTGGTTCACCGTATCAAGAAGTGTGCAGGCCATTAACCATTTGCAAATACAAAGAAGAGTGAAATGTTCTTGCAATAACCACTAGGATCTGAAATTCCAAACAATAGCTGAAAAGAAATCACTTTACACCATAAGCAGATTACCTCCTATTTCCAACATGAAACCAGAAAATTGGACAGATTTTGCCACATGTATAAAAAAAACAACAACAAAACTTCAATGTAAATCAGTGACATTTACATAGGAATCCTAGTTGAAGATGTAAAAGGAGATAGAAAGTGATTCTGTCTCCCTTCTCCTACTCCTGTCCGCATGCCTGTCCCACCTCATCCTTCCCTACGCCACTCCTCACAAACCTGGGACTCCTGTCTTGTAGCCTCGTTTGCAGCGTCCCCTACAAAGGATGGTTCCAGGCAGAGTGGTCTGATTGAGGAACCTAGGCACAGGGGTGTCCCCATTTCCTGCTCCACACTGCTGTCTGAAACCACAGTGGACCAACGCGGGCCACTCAAAACGCACCTCCTTTCACAGCGCATTGCTAACAAAGTCTCAGTTCTTTCTAAAGGGGGGCAAAATTACCCTGAGACATGGTATCCTCACCCCCTCCACTCCCATTTCCCAGATATCAATCGACATTACTGGTATTTTATATGGAAGGCCCAGGGTTTGCAAAAATCAGAACCATAAGGCCCTAGATCAACCCGTTGCCGTCAAGACTATTTGAATCCATCGTGACCCAGAGGACGCAGTAGAACTGCCCTGAGGGTTTGCAAGCTTCTACATCTTCATGGGAGCAGCCCGACTCATCCTCCTGGAGACAGGCGGGTGGCATCTCAACGAACAGCCGAGAGTGCTTCACCACTGCACCTTGAGAGCGCCCGGCTCGGCTGGAAGTAGGTGAAAAGGCTTCTTACCAGTATCAGCTTCTCTAATACATTCTTACAGGTCTGCTTTCGGTCACTCAGCACATCTTTTTGCTTCATTAGGACACGGTAGCGGCTGAAAAATTCTTGGTAAGTCCACCTACCAAGAGAAGCTCACATCAGCTGATTTGAAGAACTGGAGGAACGCTTCCACTAGGACTCCTTGACTGAAACTGCCAGGCTTACCGAGAGGGGAAACCGGCCGCGCTGATTCGAATGGTTTCCAGCACGCCACACGCCCGCAGCTGCTGCACTGCCCTCTTCTCGTCAAACCTACGCAAGAACAAGGACCATGAACACCCAGAGGCCTGGCTGTCGCCGCAAATCACGCTCCCCTGTCCAGAAAGTAAATTCTTGTGGAAGGAGACAAACAGAACACTTGGGGGGCGGGGGGAAGCCTTCCAAAGTTAACAGTAATCGAAGTGATCATGTCCGTGGGGGAGTGGGGCGCTGACAATTAGCAGTGAAAAGAAAGATCTTTTTACTCATGAGATATACTTGTGAGCATATTTTTTTCAATGAGATTCCTCTGCATTTTTTTTTTTAATGTAAAAGGGTTTTTAGTTGATTTAATTGGCAGATTTAAGAGTTCTTCCACACACTACTGAGGGGAGTGGCATGGGATCAATGATAGAGATAAAAGATGATGTACTTTTGCACACAGGTGTGGTTCAAAAAGCCAAACTTAACTGCCATCGAGACTCCTCTGCATTTCGTTAGCCAATAAGTGTTAGGTGGACGGCCCTCTCTAAGTGGTCTCAGACTTCTCCGCCCCATTTAATCTAGGGTAGGATAAAGATGGGCCAGCCCTCAGATTTCTCTAGGAAGAAGGGCAAATGCACATGAAAGGGAATCAAACAGCTATTTGCATACCAATGTCCATTGCCATACTATTCACAATAGTTAAAAAGTGGAAACCCCTACAGGCCCGTCATCGGATAAACGGATCAACAAAATGCCGTGCATACATACAGTACTACTTGGCCGGCAAGAGGAATGAAATCTTTGATACGGGATCCAATGTGGATGAACAAGAGCAGGCAGCTCTACAGAGACCAAAGTTCATTTGTGGTTATCTGAGGCAGATGGGAGGAAGAAAGAGCAGATCTTGTTTGTGGAGTACTGAGTTTCAGTTAATGGTGATGGGAAAATCACACTGATTCAAGGCCAAGTTGTTGCAACTCTTGTCAGCAAGCTCGATATCTACAAAAAGCTGAACTGATTAAAGTTGGTAATAGATATATTTACAACAGTGACAAAAAAGAAGAAACTGCTGAGAGTGCTTATGTCCAACCAACCAACCAACCGGACAAACAAATAAAAACCCGCCTCCAAACCCCTGAGACACAACAATGAATCAATTAATTCACTTGGAGCATAACGAAAGTAAGAAATATGAGAAGATAAAATGTGTGACTTATTTCTCCATGAACAACTGCTCCTTTCGCCATGACACCAGGAGAATTGGATGGTACCTGACCACCTTTACTGAACAATTTAAGCAAAGCTGCCATAGAGGGATCCTGATTAAAGGGGGGAAATTCAGGATAAGTTTCAAATTCTCATGAAGGACAGATTTTTTGGAGCCAGAGAGGGTGAATGGACATCTGAAACTATTGCCCTGAAATTATCGTTAAGCTTTATATTAAAATTATCCCCTGACCGGGCCCAAAGCAGAGAAGGACAGAAAGATGTTCACTTGAGTTCCATTGACTGCAAAGGTATTCAACTGTGCGGATCATAACGAGTGACTGACAGCCTCGAGGAGAATGGGAGCTCCTGAACACTTGATTGTTCTCATAAAGAACCTGGATGTGGATCAAGAGGCACTTGTGTGAACAGATCCAGGGCATACTGTGGGCGTCCTCAAACAACAGCCCGTGGGCCACATGCGCCCCGCCGAGGACATTTATCTGGCCCGCCGGGTGTTTTTGCCCCATTTGGTTTTTCACTTCAACATAAGATATGTGCAGTGTGCATAGGAATTTGTTCATAGTTTGTTTGTTTTTTTAATTATAGTCCGGTCCTCCAACAGGTCTGAGGGACAGTAAACTGGCCCCCTGTTTAAAAAGTATGAGGAGCCCTGGCATACTGCATGGTTTAAAATCAAGACAGGTCTGTGGCAGGGTTGTAGCCTCTCACAGTATGTATTCAATTTGTGTGTGCCAAGGCAGTCATCAGAGAAGCTGGATTATATGAAGAAGAATGTGGCGGCAGGATAGGAGGAAGGCTTATTAACAGCCTGCAATATGCAGATGGTACAATCTTGTTAGGAGCGGTCAGGGCCTGGAGAAGGACACCAGGCTTGGTACAGTAGGGGAGCAATGAAAAAGAGGAACTCCCTTGGCAAGACGGATTGACACAGTGGCTGTCACGGTGGGCGCAAATCTAAGAACAACTGTGAGGATGGTACAGGACCACGCAGCGTTTCATTCTGTTGTGCACAGGGTCACTATGAGTGAGAACTGACCCGATGGCACCTAACAATAACAACAAACAACTATCTATCTAAGGCAAAGGACATTTACAGAGGCCTAAATGCAGGCATGTACATATATAAATTATATATATATATATATATATATATATATATATATATATATATATATATACACACACACATATATATATAATGAGAGGGGAATAGAACTATGTACTCATATCTATATGTTAAGAATTAAAGTTGCAGATGGACATTGGGACTCGACTCAAGTACTCCCTTAACACAAGAACACTGTTATAACAATCCGACATTCCGTGATGCTCACCTTCCCAACACGATCGCTGAAGACAAATGTGTGCAAAAGCAAACGTGGTGAAGAAAGCTGATGGTGCCCGGCTATCACAAGATATAGCATCTGGGGACTTAAAGGGTTGAAGATAAACAAGCAGTCACCTAGCTCAAAAGCGGCAAAGCCCACATGAAAGAAGCATACCAGCCTGCGTGATCACAAGGTGTCCATGGGATCAGGTATCAGGCATCTAAGACCCAGAATAAAACCATACCGAAGGTGAATGGGGTGAGGGCATGGAATGGAGATCCAATGCCCATGTGTAAACAACTGGACATCCCCTCGCAAAGGGGTCACGGGATGAAACACACAATTTGCCTCTCGTCCTTTATTTTTAATCCGGTGGTTGAGAAGTACTTACGTGAATGGGAACTTGAAGTCATTCGGCTTGATGCAGCGCACGTAGTGAGGGGTGGTGGCATTGAGGGTCTCCATCAGCAAGTGAAGGGAGTTCCGGAACTGTGTGGAAAAAGCACCAAGGGGCATCAAGATCTTGTCAAGAGTCAGAGATGAAGCTGGTCAATTTAATATTCTCCTCTGACGGCACACACATAAAATGACCTTGATGCCTATAAACCTGACCCATCATCAATGGCAGAGCTGCGACTGAATGGGAATGAAAGAGCTTTAGGCTAAAACTGCCTTAATCTTACAACCCCAGATGCTTAATCGGCTACCTATACATTCATTCTCCTGACACCCATTTTTCCCATTCCACTTAAAAAAATATAAGTCTGCAGAGCTTACTGTTGTAGCTCGGAATTTTGATTAAAAATAGCTCCTCACTTTAAGACTCTGAAGGTCACTTAGACATAGGGAGCAAGAATTTGGCTGTAAGATCCTGAAAAAGCAGCAATGACTTAAAAAGCACAGTGAATGAGCCGCTGAATGGGAGCGTGCAGTCGGTCGTGGGGTTACAATGAGGGAAGTGGCATCAGGGTGGAGGGTATGGGCCTGCGTCAGATCCTGATTCGGGTCCACACTGGGCACATGCATGGGGAAGCAAGCAGACTGGTACTCAGCCTGTGGTCCATGGGCCCGCTGCTGAACAGGCACTGAGCTTGTGTGTCCTGTCTCCCACTCCCCTAGACCAGGAGACTCCCAATAAAGGTGAGGGCAGCATGCCTGCCCGGAAGGAAAGAAAGGGCTGGTGCTCTGTACCAAAGAGTCAGAGAGCCAAGTGGGCATCAGCAGCCCGGGGAAGATGAGCTGCACTAGGGGGATGAAGACACAGAGGAAGTGATTTGGGGAGAGACTCAAGCAGAGTCACAGCCCGGAAGCAGGGTGACTTGCTCCAGCAACCTTGGCGATTTGAGGCCTCAGGACACCAGAGGGGCAGGGGCGCTGCAGCAGCTGCACGGGCTCACCTGGAGCCCCACGGTTTTCTTGTGCTCTTTGGCCGCTTGGCCCGGCCGGCCTTTGGTGGCCTTTGCAGGCATGCGGGTGAGGAGGGTGCGCCCCGAAGAGCTGGCGGAAGTCGGGCTGATGGTCTTCTCGTCATCTTGAAACAGCTCCGGCAGCATCTTGAACTGGGTCGGGAACAGTGAAAGGAGATTACGCTCAAACCGAACCGCCAGTGTAAGCCGTCACAGAAGAACCATGCTGACGGCATTGCCCCCTTCCTTCAAGAACCCCTTTCAGATTCACAGCCCAGAAATAATGGAAACCGGGGTAAGAACACAAACAAAAAAGAAAGCCAAGGCAAACCCCAAAAAAAAAAGCAAAAAAAAAAAAAACGTAAAGGGGAAAATCGAATTTAAGGAGGAAAACAAAAAACAAACCCTAACCCACAAGAAAAGACCTCTCCAAACCGATGACTGGTTCTGAACGATGATTATTTTTAAAATATTAAATTTCAACAATGTTATATGCTAATCATCACTATTATTATTTTACATACTATTTTAGCGACACCCTAATTGGAAGTCCTGTATTATTATCTCAGCTCCATAAACCGTTTCCGCATCTGGGGGAGAACTAGTTCGAGACTGAGCACTATTTCAAACATATGGCTGAAAGTCTCCGCAGGAAAGGTGTCCTGAGTTTGTTCTATAATCTTCTAAGAATATAAAATAAGCATTAGTTAAGTGATAATTTTAAGAAAATTATTCAGATTCTAGGTACAAAACAGAAGGCTAAAAAAAAGACTGCCATTTCCTATCAGTTTTTTATGTTTGTTTTCCAGGAATTTAAAAGTTGACTATATAATTCCAATACTCTATTTTGGATTTTACTGGACTATCAAAAGCTCCAGTACCTAATGTGTGGAACGATGACCCTGGCAAACGTGAGTGAAAGAAAGTTATGGAACGAAAGAGACTTCAAACTAATCCACAAGAGCATATTAATATTAGCATAGCATATATTTGTACAATAGTGTCACAGCCCTTACAAAGAACATAAAATCCTCCTAATGAGCAAAATTACATTTGCAGTTGTCATTTAACTAATAATCTCGGAATAGGTCCAGATTAAAAACTTTTGCTTCAGAGTTTTTATATTGTGTTTTGTTTTACCAAAAAGTAAAGTCAGATCCCTTCATCTGCTTTTCAGGTGTGCATCGATCATAAGAACGATTGAGGAAGTAATTCATGATGTGGCTAACAGAGTGTGATGCAGAACCTACCAATAGTAGTTGCTTGCTACACAAACGGACATATTCCTATTTCACATAATAAATAACATCTTGCTGCATGGCTGGCTACAAGGAGAAAAAGAGAAGCAAACCGAACGCAAGAACCGTGTGGCCACTGCCTCGTATTAAGTTAAAGCCGTGCTCCTCAGGGGGAAGCAGAAATGCCCGAGAGACTGCCCTGACACCTCAGCCAGTTTAGAGCGACAGGTCAGCCACGTACCTCTCTGCCACATGACCCCACCATTGCCAAATGAACTGCCAGCTCTCCATTAGCAGTGGCCAAGCTTCCCTTTTTTTTTTTTTAAGAGTGAAAGAGTTAATAGAGTTGTGCCATGATCTTATTTTCATCCCTAAACTTTCGACCTATACTATCTACCAGAAAACACATTCAAAGGTCAGGTACACATACACGTACATGCACAGATATGTGTGTACGTCTTTCTCTGTCTGCATCAAAAAACCCAACAAAGTCCCTGCCGCTGAGTCAGTTCTGACTCATAGTGACCCCGGAGGGCAGTGTAGAACTGCTCCCAGGGCTTCGGAAAGGGCCATGTCTCCTCAGCCTTCTCTTCTGGCTCCCTCCCTGGGCAGCTTCTGAAGCTGGGAAGGAAGATGATAAAGCCCCAACTGTCTTCTCGTTTTCATTTCTTCGTGTTTTTAACCTTTTCATCGCGAATTGGGGAACAACTTGGGAAAAACGGAAATGGTCACACTACTGAAAGCCTGGCACCAACGTCATGGGGTGATACACGCAGAACCTGTTCGGTTGATGTGCTTTGCTGTGGAGAGTCTCAAGAACAACAAAATGAATAAGGTTTGGGGGCAAATAAAAGCAAAGTGCTTAGGCCACATGCAAAACAGCGTGCGATGATGCAAATATTAATCTCCATCTGGATGATGGAGTGCATGAGGCTATGTCTCTTGAACGCCCCTTCAAAATGGCAAAGCAGAAAAACGATCTTCTACCATAATCTCTCACCAAGGCTCAGGAGAGTCTAGAACATCTGAGGAAGAAGTAGTCCAGGTTTCTCAATTTTAAGTTGTTGTTCTTGACATAGAACTGAGAGGCAGCGTTGTGTGCTGCCTGAGAGTACAAGCTCTCAGCTAGATGCCTGATTTTTAATTTGGCTCTAAAAGCTATGTAGTCTCTGGGCCTACGTTGCTCCAGCTGTAAAATGGGAGTAATGAGAATGTGACCTCATTATCAGAATTAGCAGCGTGAACATTTCTTTGTAAAGGATTGAGAACTGGACTTAACACACAGCATTGTGTGTTGGCTAAATAAAAACAAAAAACCAATTTTGCTAGAAATAGCATTCTTGCTGAAAAGTCCTTTTTATGATATTAACTTATTATTGAATATGTCCCAAGGTTATGCAGGTTTACCTTGCTTGATTTAAGAACTTTAATTTGTTCTTCAAAAACGGTGTCTTTATTCTTTTCAAGAAAGCCTTCACACTGGTATTCCACCTGAAAACACACGGGAAAATCTCTTTAACTGAAAGGACTTTCGACTAGATATCATCATCATAAGCAACAAAAATAGGCCCCCGGAGCACTCCCCAAAGTGGTGTCATCCGTGTTACTCTGAGAAACAAGTACAGTTCCTAATAGAGTAGGAAATGTTATTAACTTTACAGTGCAAGTTCCCAAATGCTGTCTTCTCTAGAAACAGAGGGAGTGCTGACGAATTGTGTCCAGAAGATTCTCCCAGTTCCTGGCTAAGCTGACTCATAAGAAGTTGATGCTCTCTCTCCTGCCATGCTCCCAAAGAGAGAGCCCTGGAGGCTGATCCAATGTGTCTCCTTCAGTACCAGGTCACTGTGCAGCAAGGGTGAGGGGAGATTAGGCAGGAGTGAGGATCAGGAGGAACAGTTGGCTCTCTGGCAGGGAGGACAATGAAGAACTCATGATGGATAGCAGGAGTATGAGGGTAATGTAGGACCACTCAAGAATGGCTTATTCTATTTCTGATTCCAAAATTATAGCAGCTTCAGCCATTTGCCACGCGAGGAGTTCTGTAGACTGTCCCTCACAGTCCAGGCCACTCAGGTTTCCAGTCAGGAAGAAAGCAGACTTGAAGAACTCTCAAACTCTAAAGGAGGTCTCGGGAAGTTTACCCAGGCCTGTCCTATAAATCCGCCTTGTGGCTCCTGAGTTCCTGAGCAGACTCTGGAGCTGGTGGCGCAGTGAGCATGCGTGCCTTTGTAGGAAGGACCCTGAGACCTAACCACTGACAGTAACACAGCTCAATTTGGAAACCTTAGTGGTCAGGTGAGCTTTTGTGGTAGTTACATAATGTGGTGTCAATTTGGGACTTGAGAGGATTAAGAGTGAAGGGGTGGAGTCTAGTCTGTCAATTGGGTTATAGCCAATGAGGCCTCTGCATGGGCATGACCTTCTCCTGAGAATTCTGGGAAATTCGGTATTTTCTCCTTGGTGGTGGGAGACACCTCTCTCTCTCTCTCTCTGCTCACTCCCTGGGAGAC